GTCCATGAGTTGGGCACCACAGGGCACAGTGGGCACTTCCCATGGAAGGTTTCCCTTGCTCAGCTCTCCGACTGGCAGGCACTGCTAATTTGCAATCCAAGCCAAGGTTTGCTGATCATTCTCAATTTCAAATGATTTTCACAAGGCACATCATGATCAGCACCTTGGAAAATCAATTCTATGAGTGCTATCACTGTAGCTCATGGATGAAGGCTCATGACTAAGGCAGGTAGAAATCAGTCTTTTGTCTGGAGTCAGATGCTTTAAAATCCATCTGTTGGTAACTGAACTGGTTCAGAAACACTTTTTTTCTTTTCAGCTTGCACTTACTACTCCAGATATCATCAGTACCTGATGTATTTTGGGAACAAAATTTTATTAATGTAGTGGAAATGCCACTGAGCTGACATTATTTACTTGACTGACAAAATGAGAAACGTGCCGAACAGATTCTAGAACAAAAGGGTCTGTCTGAGAGGAAAACAAATATATATAAATATACACACACATATTTGAAATCTCAAATTGGACTTTACCTTGTTCTCTGTCTGTCTACTGCTCAAATAGTTATGTTTGGGAAGATATGAAGTGAGCCACCTTTTCTATGGCAACAACACTAAGAAAAATGTTGAGTTTCCATGATCTAATTTAATTCTATTGATGTGATCTTCTGGTAGCAATGATGCTTAAAATGTTCCAAGCTCAAATTGCCTTAGCATTTGCCTCCCACTGAAAGAATTTAGGTTTTATTATTTTATACTCATAGTTGAAAGACTCTTATGACACCACTTCAGTGTATAATGTAAGCATACAGCTGTCAGTATTAACAGTAGGTCAGGCTTTGATAATATTAAAATGGAAAAGGAATACTGCTAAGATATGTGGTATTTTATGGTTATGGAGTATGCTATAAAAATACCTGCTTTACTAAGTATCATGAGCAGCTGCTTTCTGTCACAGAGCACACACAGCCATCACCTAGAAATACACGGCTCCGAGAGCTTACAGTACACGTTCACATCTCCTTCTCTCTCATAAACTCAAAGGTCAGTATTTCTTTCCCTTTAAAGACTCTCAAGTTTTGGAAATGAAATGGTCTGTGAGTATCAAGAGTCAACTGGGGGGTTCCAGGCCCTGATTTTCAGTAAGTGCCTGAAGAAGTCCCAGCTAAAGTCTGTAGGAACTTCATTCCAAAATGAAGGTTTAAAGAGATGAAATCTGCAACTGTGCGAGAGGAGATAGAAAATTCAGGAAGTACTTCAAGGGGTAACAGACTTAAATCTATATCCATGGCTGATTGTGTGTTCTTGGAATGGTTGTGTATCCTGAAGGAAGGAGTACAAGTATATTTTTTCCAGAGAAGATAATGCATCATACTTTAACAGTGATCCAAATACAGTGTCCAGGGATCAATTAAGTTTAGTTGATAAGGGTGCAACATTACTGGGAAAATCCTGATTATTACAAATGACAAAAAGTGAATTTAAATCTGATTGTGGGACTAATTCCCCCTTATAACTGTGGTTTGGACCTCAGTAGCAGGAGCTGATGGGAATGACTACAGTATATTGAAAAAGCACTGAGTGACTTCATCTAAGGAGGATTCTACTTCACCTCACAGGGATGAAAACTTCCTTTATTTTTCAATGAAAGATGTAAAAGGAGTCACTGTCCTGTACAGGGATACTTCTTGTTAAAAGCAGTTGCATTTGTTAAGCAAGCACACGAAGTCTTATTGATTTGTTAATATTGAAGAAAATGTCCAAAGTTAGTTTCTTGGCCAGCAGCATGCCCAGTTAACAAATTGCTCACCTGGATAATTTAACCAACTTACACGAAAGGCTTCGATCTCTGAGGACACTGAAGGCCCTCACCTTACAACTTAGACACAGAAATCAAAGTTCTCCACAGCCAGGATGCAAGTTTTGGAGAAAAGAAAGGAGTTAATAGCCAAGGAGAAAGCTACCAGAGAGCTGGGCTCATTCTGTAAGCAGTAAGGTGGAACAATAAGGTTTAATGGATTAAAATATCGTGCAATAATCACTTCCTTTCCTAGGGTTCTTCTGTCACAAATATCCACAAGATTAGGCTGGGAGGTGACACTACAGAGAGCTTTTGGGGTTTGATGTTATCAGATTTTATGGGTGTGAAATTTGGCAATTTCACAGGTATGCAAAATACTGACTCCTTGTAGACGCTTTATCGTTTTATTTAAGAGAGGTAAAATATGCATGAGGGTAATTTTTCAGTCTTCTGAGTTTATTTGTTATTTACTTGTATTTACTGAGAAGTCTATTGTGAAATCTCATCTTGTTCATAGTAGTCTAGTATGGAACACAGAGGAGGATCATCATTCATACAAGAGCACTGCATATTTCTCCTTCTCCTCATTGCAGAGAAACTCTTGAAGAAATTCCAAAAGAGGATGAGTGAAGTTAAGAGGATTCTTTATCTATAGCTTTGGTAGTTATCAGCTCTATTCTTTAATTGAAACTGAAGTGAGCAGCTGTTAGCTTCCCTTCTATTGAGCACTAACGTGGTAGATTTGAAACAATAAACAGTTAATGCTATTTGAGTTCCTACAACCAGCACCCCCCAAAAAAACATCTGGCTGCGACAACCAGAGCCACAAATGGTGAGCCGTTTATGAGATCAAGTTGGCTGTTTAGAGGTGTCAGCCTTTATAAAACTTGTATGAGTGTTTATTCCTGCTTTCAGAGGAGACAGACTCGTTTGCATGAAACAGAGTGTGTGTGTTTGTGCCTGTCTGAAAGAGAGAAAGAGGGAGGGAGAAGCGAGGGTACAGACTTTGATACCTGTTGGCAACACGAGCAGGTTTGTGTAGAGCCGTTCTGTGCCAGGTTGGATTGATTCCACCCTATTTAGTCTGGTACTAAATGCAAACTGTTTGAATTGAGACAAATTCAAGGCATGACTGAACAGCAACGAACCGCAGAGGAATTCCTGCCTGTGTTAAGTAGTGTCACCTTCATGGCGGTAGGCAGAGTCTAAACAAGGATTTGAGTTAATCTCTTTTATATTACCCTCCTAGAAACTGCCACAGGCTTTCTGTGCTGAGGCTTTGCAGTGCCTCCCAGGCTCCCCAGCCAAGCCCGGGCTCAGGTCTGATGCTGTCTAGCAGGGATGCTGTCTGGCAGCTCGGGGCTCCCGATTGGGATGCTGCTACCCGGCAGATATTGTAGCCAAGCAGAATGGAAGGATGTGTTACTCCTCTGCCTCCCTCAAAGGCGAGATGAAGCGTTTAGTGGCACAGCCAGATTCAGGGGGCCACAGAGTCCTGCATTTCTTCTCTGGGAGCCTTGGCAGCGAGGGACTGGAGCTGAGGAGCTTTCCCCCGCTCCCAAGTTTCAGCTGGGTGCATTCTCTGTTTAGTCAACCAAAGCAAAACAACTTGTGGGACAAGGATGACTCCTGGCTAGTTGTGCCTAAAGATTCATTCCCATCTCAGCTTTAAAGAGGGAGAGCAGTATTTCTGGGATGCCTTCCTCTATGAAAGTAGGAAAGGAAGCTGTGAAGCCATTCCTATTTATTTACTTATTTAGGGGGTGCAAAGCTTTTGGGGGAGGGAGGGTGGTGATAAAACAGGGGGATTTCCCCCCCTCATGGTTCTTCCAGCCTCCTCCTCCCTCATTTACATATCTGGCTGGTGGGTGATTTTTATTCTCAGCACGAAAACTGCAATCTATTTCAATGCATGAATGCAGCCCTGCATCTATTCAACACAGTGAAATAGCCCAGAGACTTATTGTACTAAATAAGAAAACAAGGAAAAGAAACGGGTTCTCCAGCCTTGGAAGCAACCCTCTGTGATCCAAAGTCCTCCTGATCATTTACAGGGGGGTGAAGAAGGGAAGGAAAAATAAACCACCTCAAAAAAAAAAAAAAAAAAAAGAAACCAAACGGGAGGAGAAATACAATTACCACCATCTCTCCTCCCGAGGGAATAAGAATAATTTAAATAATCCTAACAAGCATTTTCATTATCGGGAATATTGAAAACATCTGACCGAATGAGGCACCACAGTTCAGCCTAATACCGCACCTATGGACGAGGAAGGCGCTCGCACAGCGCACCTTGCACGCACACAGAGCCCAAGTCAGACAGAAACCCACGGAGCGAGAGCCCTCTGCCAGCCAGCCACAAATTGTATTAATAAAATGAATACTCACTCTTTGAAGGAGCAAGGGAACCGCTCGCCCACAGCCACTTCACGCACGGATTGTAAGGGTGAGGTAAAAAAACATCAGCCAGTCCCTGGGAACAGGCAAGATTCTCCAGATTTTCTTCTCATGCTTTCCGAGGCTGCTGATGCTGGAGGAGACGCTGGTTGCTGCGCTTCCCGGGTCTCTGTGCCTGCATGCTGGAGTGCAGTTATTAATTTCTCCCTTCGCACGAGCCAGCGGCAGCAGCACGTCTCCAGGAAAGCAGGGATATTCCAAATAAATCCGCTAATTCCGGGGCTGAGCGCGCTACCGTGCCTGCCTGCCTGCCAAATGTAACTGTGAAGCGATGTGGAAAAGTGAGCCGGGAGCCTCCCCTGACAGCTCTTATTGGGCTGATCTCGGAGGCAGGTCTAGCGCTGGGAAATTCGTGTAAGCACTTTGGGGTGGTGGGTTTTTTTTCCCCCCCCTCCCTCTCCTGCGCACCCCGCACCCCGCCTTCCCCCCGGCGAGGGGGGCACACAACTTTTCCAGGGCTCCCCGCGGCCGCCAACTCCGCGCCGGGGCATCTCCTGCGCCCGGCAGGGAGGGAGGCAGGGATGGAGGGAGGGAGGACGGGCGGGGGTGGCACCGGGCGGGCCCTGAGCAGCCGCGGGGCCACCGGGGAGGCGCCCGCCGGGGCTGGGACGTGCCCGGAGCCCCCCGCCCTTTGGGGCGATGCCCGCCGGGAAGGGGAGAGCGGGAGACGGGCACGGGGGGGATGCGAGGGGGACACGGGGGGATGCGGCCGCCCCCGGAGGGGCCGCGGGCAGCTGTTCATCTCCGTGAGACAGACGCTGCAGGCGGGCGCCCCGGGGACAGGGAGGGCATCCTTTCAAAGCCCTTTTTCCCTAGACGCTCCGGGGAACTGCAGGCGGGTTTGAATGTGCTCCGGCGCTGCTCCGGAGCCGCGGGTGGCGGCCAGACGGGGAGAGGCAGCGCCGAGACCTCCCCGCAGCAGGAGCCGGCTGGAGGGCAGCGCCGCGCAGTAAGTCCTTGACCCTCGCCCCCTTCCCAATCCGCTTCGTGACTGACAGCGCTGGGATCCGGCACAGCCCGGGAGAGGCTCGGGCATCCCGAGCGCTGGGGATGCTTCACCTGCCTTTGGCTTACGGAGCTGAAGGTGGCTCATCCCATCCGAGGGCTCCGCGCGGGTCCGGGCTGAGGAACCCTGCGGGGGAACCCTGCCACCCCCGTGCCCACCTGCTTTATCCAATGTTTGAGTTTCACCCCTTTTTCTGTTGCATGGGTTTTCCATTAGCAGGTTAAATGCTATTCTTGCTAATTACATACATCATAGCTCTGAATATTTCCCAAGTTTAACGTTTGCTAGTAGAGGAGGGGTAAGAGCACAAGGTATAGATGTGGTCAGGTACAGACAGTGACTTAAAATGGAGGACTGATTCAACACTGAACTAGTGCTGTTGAGGAAGCTCAAGTGCACTCAGTTCCATCCTCATTCTCCAACTCTCCTTGACCAGCAATATGTTGTGTTTAAAATGAACATTCAGTGTGGTTCTACATTACTGAACCTGGTTCATTGCTCAACTTCATTTTTAAAAGGCTGGTCGTCTTAAACTCATTCAGAGCACCTGGAAGCCTCTTCACCCTAAGCACTAAATAAGATGACTATTTTGTTGAAGATCAATCTAGGATGGCAGAAAGTGGACCCTAATATTCTTCTATGTAGTAAGAACACAGTATAATTTAGTTCCATGATTATTAATCTTATTTTTCATGCTCATACTACTATGTGTGCCTGCACACATGTAAGACAGTGAATGAGACCCCTTCATTTGGAGCTTGTACCTGCTTGACTTGAACTAAGTGCAAGTTACTGCAAATAACAGGTGCATTTCCTCTTGCACAAATCCTCATTCTGAAAAGCCTCCAACTCATGGGAATGTAGCAAAATGTACCCAGAACGTGACATTTTTCAAGGACAATGAAGAAACATTCAACTACCTCCTTACTTCCCTCAGCCCCAACCTTCACTTTCCAAGCTGTGAGCCTGGGATGATTCCTTGGAGAAGGATGGATATAAAAATACACAACCCTGACCTGAAACAGGCAGAGAGCCTTGAGGGAAATACAAAACACTTTGCAGTGCAATAGATAAGGTCAGAAATGTGGCTTCCCTTTACCTGGGGTTCTGCAGAGGCAAAGGGTGTTTTTCTCCCCCATCCTTCCACCAACTGAGCAACCCAGTTAGAAAATAGATGCTGTCACAAGGAAAGCATGAGGATGCTTAGCCTGGCTTTACTCCTGGTAATTGATGACAGTTTTCAAACTTTTTTCAAGGTTTCAGTAAGAGTAGTGGCACACCTTGCTTTAATTTCTATTAAAAACACCTGATGGAAGCAACCAAGAATAAAAGTTCTCCCTAATAAGATCTCCTGTGTCTCTGCTTTAAACAGGCAGCACGGTGGAGTGAAAGCTAATGGGAGGAAAGCTAATGGTGGAGGTTGTACCTCCAAGTACTGCTTGAAAGTTTAGGTTTTTGTTTTGATTTCAACCTTTGACTTGTGCCATTTGTTCTATGTGACCTTTCTTGCAGTTGGAAATTACTGGGGCAAATGCTCTGCTCTTTCATCCTCAAGTTGTAGGGGAGGATGGTAAGTGTCTTGTTAAAATGGATTATGTCATCCATGGATTCCCCTGCTGGAAACCCTTTCAGATGATGGAGTAAATCTTGACAGCAAGAAGTGTATGGATTAAAATTAATGTAAAAATAATCTTGGAACAGCAAAGGAACATTTGCAACCTTCTGCATCCTATCCAAATGAAATGATTTGATTATATGTACCATAGTGAGATATATATACACATACTATTGCATAACACTGATGAATATGCTGGCTAAAAAATTGTTTCCTCTTAAATAAATATTAAAAGGAAGATTATTCCTCTACCATTTCATTTTTTAAGTAAAAAGCAGCTCAGACTCCAATTGAAATGGGATGAAGATTTTTAGTTTAATAACTGTACTGAAGAACAAATGTTATCTGCAAAATGCATATGACTGAATGCATTCTGGACCAAACTGGAATGCAATTTTCATATTAAATTTTCTGATCAGGAAAAAAACCCAACAAACCAGAATATTCAAAAAGTATATCAGTTTGTGGGATGAGTTGGTTGTTGGCTTTGTTATTTTGGGGTTATTTTTCATCTTATTTGGTTCCTTCTTTTGGTTTGTTTCAGGTTGTTACTTTGTTGTTATTGGTGCTTTTGGGGATTGTTGTGGTTTTTTTAGGTTTTTTTTGACTGGTTGTGATTGACAATGGGGAAAAAAATTAACCTCTGCTTGGACAAGAACCTGGAGATTTTCTTCCAAATTTCTTTGCTTTTATGAGCAAGAAGGATTAAAACCCCAATGTGACTTCCCTTTCATATAAGACAGGAAATATCTATCACCTAAAGTATGTGGCACGATGGAATTCAACCATCTTTTCTCGCTTTTATGTTTTTGGGAAAACAGTTGTTGACCATCATCTAATTCTTTGTTCCTCAGCAGTGCAATGAACTGTTTTGAGAAGACAGAGAATTTAGACCTTAGTGCTTAAAAATATTCAATAGGAGTGACTTGAAATGAGCTCTTCAGGGGTAACTCAATCACAGCACAGCCTTAGCAGGGCTGCTGCTGATGTCAGTGCTCGGCGTCATCTCATTTCAATTACAATGCCAACGCCAGGACTTGAAAGGGGTGGGGAGGGAAAAGAAAGCACTGCTCTAATTCCTCCCGTTCAGGTTGTATTCCATCAGATCACCTAGCACTCAGATATTTCCCTCAAAGCACCAGCAGCTGATTTCAGTTTTTAATACACAAAATAAGGCCTGATCCAAAATTAATGGGTCCAGTGTGACTTGCTTGATCAAGATAAATGACTTTACTACAAGCTACCTTTGCTTACAGGGATTACCACTACATTGCCACTTCAAAGCAATATTATTAATAAGAAATTAATAACTGATCTGAAAGTTACTAAAGGAAGTTTACAGAATAGTGGTGTCACCTGCTATTATTCTGTTAAAGCTTTAAATAAAATCAGAGCTGTTTTCTCAGGTGATACCCAAACACTCTGCATCGTTTGCACCTTTTGCTCAGATCATGAGAGGGATTATTCCTAAATTTAATTTGCTTTGCATGCTAGAATTCACATTCCATAAACTAAGAAGAAACAAGATTTATCTTAAATCCAGAACATTTCTGAATAAAATATGTGCTTTTATCAGCTCCCTCTGCCAGCACAGAGACATAATTACCTTTAGAACATGGGTTCTTATCACCGTCTTGCAACCTTTAAAACCTGCTTCTATACAGTTATCACAAGTTGGTTATCAGGAAAAATAATGATCTCCTGTGTTTGGGAAGTCACTGAAAACATCTGTAACTTGAAAAAAAATCCATTATATAATGCTTACAACTGATGCTGTAGATTAAAACAAAGGAAATGATACAAGCAGCCTGTGAGACAAAGGTATATGGTTTGGGGTAGGTTTGGGTGGTTTTTTTCCCCTCTGAAAGCAATTCCAGTTTACATTTTAACAGGGAAGGATAGGGACACTGAGAAACTCAAGTGAGGGATTTGCAGAGGTTAAAATTCCAATATCCAACACTGGAACAGAAAGCTTGGAAAGCCCCACTGAAGGAAGAGCAGCCCACAAAGCAGCAGCAGCCATAAGTGACAAAAGTGATTCTCAACCACCCAAAAATACTTGCTTTCCAATCTGGCCCTCTGAGAAAGACACCTAATGTAAATCCAGTCCCTTGTTACTGCACACATGAGAAGAAACAGATGTACTGATTTTGACTATGTTACTCTAGCTTTGACAGGACAGACACATCCTCATAACCACTGAAATTCCTCTTTCAGCCTAAGGACAGTCAAACAGAAGGTTTAACCCAACAGCAGCACAGGGCTTGTGGGGCCTTAACTCATCCTTTTCCCATCCCCAAATCACTCCATTTCGTACTATAAAACATAAGTAGTTCTGGGCCCCTTTCACTCTCTAGAGATTGTAAAATATAAAACCCCCAACTACTCTTTTGTGTACCATTTGCACCAATGATATTATGGAGAGCATAAAAATAACAACACATTATCAGGTTTTGTTACTCCTTGGGCACTATTTGCAATTTTGACTAGTTGCTGTCAGGTTGGCTATTAGAAAAACAATTAGTCCTTTTGTGCATCAAACCCTAGGATGAAGACAAAAGAAAATTATATCCAGCAAGGAGTTCAACCTCTTTTTTTTTTTTTTTTTGCATATTAATGTGCAAAAGGGTACAAATTGTACAGGATGCAATTTGGAAAGTTAATCTTTTGCTGTTAGTTTTCACTGCACTTTGTGAGTGTCGATAACGGGATCGGTTGCAGTAGCTGTGCAAATATTGTTTGCTCTACCTCAAGTGCCCTCTAGTGTGCAGTAATTAAGCAGGTTAAAATATTTTTTCCCTTTTTTTTCCCTAACAGCCGCTCTTCTAAATCCCAAAGTAATGTGCAACTCTGCTTTTCTTCCAGAGGAAAGAGAAATTTAATGTTCGCTGCATTAATCGTGTGGCTATAAATGAATTATCTCCTCTATGGAAAATCAAATCACCCCTGTTGCTGTCAAGGTTTTATTCTCAGAGGTATTAGTTAAATAAAGCCCAATAATTCTTCTGGGCATTTTGCAAATGTCAAGGTACAAACAGTTTTCAGTGTTATCAGAATCAAAACAAGCCTTCCCTCTGATAAAGAAAATTAACATATTCATCAACAAAGCATGACCCTAGAACGAGATTTAACAACAAACCCCCTGATTATGCTTGCAGAGTTTTTTAACAGGACTTTTTGTCCCCAGTTTAGAAAACAGGCAATTCTAGATGAATCTGATGACTGAGGCACACATGTAACAAGCTCTGTGTGTTCTCATCTGTCCTTTCCAGCAGGACTGATGTGCCCTGTTGGTCAAAATTCTGCCATCCCTTGGCTGGATAAATGGAGTCAGGTCTGTCAGTGGGAGCAGCTTCCTGACGACAGATAGAGGACAGCAGGAGGAGGAGAAGAGAGAAGATGTTGGGAGATCAAAGACTGAAGAGGTAAAATCACCAAGTGAAGCTCCAGGAACAAAGAATGAAAAAATATCACTACGTGTACCTGCAAGGGGTGGTTGTTTAACTTAATCCTATTTCTAAGGGGCTCCCCCATTTTTAAAAAGAAGGCAACACTTGAGTTACCCACCTGACTTTCTCCACTGCACAAATGAGTTAATTCTGGGAGAACCATTGAGGAGTTTTCCCCTCCATCCTTCATTTCATTGTGGCCTGACTTCAGAGCCAAGTACTCACTTTCAAGCAGGATTTACCATAAAATTCCAAGGTAATAGCGAGCTTAAACATACCCTACATAAACCAGAGTTTTAATGGACTTCTGAAAGCTGAGGTAAGAGGGATGGGTGGGTCCCAGGAGAGATGAAATGGTTGCCTGTAACAGGGATATGCTGCAAGGTGAGAGAACTGAATTTTTTATGAGTTGTAAAATCAGTAGGACTTCCTATAAGTGCAAAGAGTCATCACTGCTGTCTCTGAGCTGGGGTTGTGGTCGTAGGGCTGTGGTTTCCAAGTGAGAAGCCCACAGGATTGCTTCCTGTTTGTCAGTTTGCTTCCCTTCTTGGCAGGTCGGCTTTTTGGAAGGGTAATTTTCGTACCTCCTGCCTTCTGCAGAGAACATACTGTTCTAGCACAGCTTAAACGTGCATAGGAGGCTACAGAACAGAGAGCTAAGCATCACACTTTGCCAATCCACACTTTTGTAACACTTAATGGCCTATTTTGATCTATTTTAACAGCCACACTGCACCCAGGCAACGTGGTGGCAGTAATGTAACAACTACATTTATTCCAGAAACAATGCCCTCACACTTCAGAGCAAGTACAGAACTGATGTACACGTTTTTAGGGGCTAGATAGGGCTTGGCAGTGATTTGGGAAAACAACCTGCATTCATTACCATCAGATGTGAGTAAACCCATCCAGATGTGTTCAGCCCTCCTCGTTACAGCGATGAGAGAGAGCTGCTGTTCCAGCAGAGCTGATAGCCTGCTCTGGATACCAGCAGCACACAGGGAAAGGGAAAAGCCACTCAGTGGCAAGGGGAGCTTCCTGCTATAAAATGGATGACTTCCACCCTGACAGCATTCTGCTACCTCTGTTCTGAACAAAACAGATCTCACTTTAGCCCACGTGCTGCCCTCCTTCACTAGAGCAGCAATACCATGACTCAGGTCCACGTGAAGGTGACAGTGACAGCAGACAACAAATCCAATGGTACCTGTGGTTACTGATAAAAGGAAAAGTAGCACAAGTCTCAGGTTCCAGCAGATACCACCTGAAGAAACTCCCCAAAAGGTATTTTTGCACACCTCATAACCCAAATCTAATGGCAGCACGAGCTGAAATTTGGCTGCAAGCTCAAGTCCTGTTTGTTTTGCCGTTCTGAGTGCAGTGACAGATTAGGAGTATGTGCTTATTTCAAAGTACTTTTCTCCAGAGATTTCTGGTTTGTTTCTTCATTTAATTAAGAAGGTAAGTCAACATATTGCCCATAGAGGGATTTTTCAGCAACTGCTGACATTGTAGTTTGGCAGACTGATCTTAAAAAAAAAAAAGGTCATGCTGTGGTAAAAGAAAGCATCCATTTCCCCTAAAAATATTTCTGGTGTATATGCATATGCATATAGGTAATGAAGGAGAATATAAACCATTTAAATCCACAGGACTTAGAACTGAAGGACTTTTTTTTTTTAGTAAGGAGCTAAAATGGCAGAGTATATAGAGGAAGGACCATTTTACTCAAATTACATATTTTTAATGCCCAGCTTAGGGAATCAAGTAAATACCTTCTGAAATATATTCAACATTAATTTACAAACTTTGATAGGTGGTTTTTATTGCCAAATGTAGTAAAATCAAGTGAAGAAGTATCTGAGACTAAGATGGTGCAAATAATGTCCCCAGGAGGAAACAGCATGAAAAGGGTGTGAGTAATAGTTCTGCTACTTGTTGATCCTCAGCTTCTTTGCAAGTCCTTAGAAGTAAAGAGACAGGAGTAAAAGGCATGTTCTCCATTAATTACTCAATTAGTTATTCCAGCTGTGGAATAACTGAAGGAATATCAGGGCCTGATTCACTACTGTGCTAATTTCACTAATTCCAGCCTAACACTGGAGTAACACTGTGGTAAAAAACAACCCATATTTGTATTTAAATTAAAATCTCTAATATTCATCAAATATTTATAAGACTATATAACAAATAATTGTGGCAAACATTGTGTAATAAAGATGAAAGGGAAATTAACCTTGTGAATTTTTAAACTGAAGAATAAAGACCATTACATTAATAAGACTTAATTATAGCATTAAATATTTAAAATTATGCCCTCCAATAAATGTTTTTATTTAACATATTTCTTTTTTATCTATTACATTAGTAAAATGCCTTTAAGATATGAAAGAAAAAGAAAAAAGAAGAGGTATTTGTTTTGGATAGCCCTGGAACTACATAAAAAGGAGAAGGGAACCATATGTTACCTCTTCAACTCAAGGTCAGCTCTCAGGACAGAACAACCTGTACTTCCACAAGCCTCAGCTCCCTGCCTGGATGGGCTGGTGAGGGCTGCATCTTTGCTAAGCATTTTTCTTCAGTTATTCTCATTTTCTAGGCCTAGCTTGGCTCTGTCTGTGCTGAAGAGCTGAGTTAAGCTGGCACAAAGGAAGCTTGTCACCACCCGTGTTTGTAGCATTCCATTTAGCATCTAACCCCATCAAAAGGTGTTCAAAGACCAGTTTCTGGCCTACAGGGATGAGTCCCCCCCTTGCTGTCACTGGCAGAGCACAGGTGTGACAGTAACAGTTGGAAATTCGGGAAATCCTCAGGGAGTCCACACCTTGCAAACAAGAGAAAGGGTCAGTTTGATTGCAAAGAATTGGGGGGTAAAGGATTTGAAAGGGAAACAACCCCCCCATCATCCACATACTGATGTCACAGACTCTTTCCTTGCCATTAATTTGTCTCAGCTTATTCTCTCTTAGCCTGTTTTAATTATTCTACAAACAGTAGAAGGGCTGCAGCCCAAAGCTTCTGAATCAAACCAAAGGCCAGGTAACAGTTTAACCCACAACGTTGCAGCCCTGCCAGAAAGAAATTTCTTTTTCTAGCACACCCCCAAAACTTTCAATGTGCCCCCACATTTATGGCTCTTCCAAGTAACATCTCTGTCTCTTCAGGGCACTCCACTTGTTTCTCTGTGCCTTGGCTGTAGGTGCAGAGCCCACAGCCAGGTAACCTGCCTGTCCCAGCTTTGCAGTGAAAGCTGACATTACGTTACATGCACAGAAACACTGGTTAAAACCAAGTGGCCAACAGTAATAAACCAAGTCTAACTCATCAGCATTTCACACCTATCAGAGGCTACAATTTAATGATGCTTTAGTGGAAGTCCTCTTGATTTACAAGCACACAAAAATAAAAAGCCCTCTCTATTCAACTACTGTGCTTTTTGTAGTTAAGCCATTCTCTCTGTTTACCAGAGTAACACTTAATCTGATGTAATCCCCACAAGTTCCTGTTTATTTTTGGAATATTCTTTTGTCTTCTGTAGATTGTGTGTTTTGTTGCTATGATTTTCTTCCCAGTCCCTCCCTATTTCCCACTCTTCTATCCCTCATCAGCCATACTGTAATTACAGAAATGTTATTTTTTGGTGGACAGGTGCATAGGGTTGCTGGCAGGAGTGCTGCCATTATGCACTGCAGAATATTAAAGAATCATATGAATCAAATCTTAGTGAAAAATATTCTTGAGAATTATCAAAAAGCTTGAACTAAGTTTGGTTTGCTTGTTTACACAAGGGGATAACTCAGCTAGAACTAGGTAAGCTTTATTTACATGTGGCAGCTAGGACTGCACTGGAGTCTTCTAATTAACACTCATGATGCTGCAAATATAACCAGGGATAAACACATATTCCATTATGTAAAGCTGCCACTCACACTGCTACAATATTCTTTTCTTCTCAGTGCACAAGTAAAACAATGCTACAAAGCAAACAAGCACTGAGCTTTCACTTCAGTACCTTCCTAATAATGTCATACCTTATTTCCAGGAGATTGTTTGTTTGGAAAAGTTGCCAAAAAAAAAAAAAAAAAAAAAAAAAAAAAAAGGCAGTGTCATCTCCTATCACTTCATTTAACTAAGGCTCAAAAGGCAGTAGAAATAACACTCAAGCTTCCACTACTGTTATGTTTTACTTTGCTTTAAAGTTTCCATAAATAAGGCATCTATTTCTGACTGGCAAGGTACTGACTATTGAAAAGTGACACTTTGCTTACAAACAGAAAGTTTAATTTGTAGGACAAATAAGAAATAAAATATGTATCATGGTTCCAAATGGATCACTGAGGCAAGGCAATCTTCCTAGGCACAGGTACAACCAAGCACAGTGAAGGGAATGCTGAAAATTCCCTGGCAACCACTTCTCAGCCGTGTCCCCACCAGGATTTCCCCTGGGTGCATGTCTCAGTGACATGCCATGCTCGAAAAGGACCCCCTGCCACACCCTCCTTCTGTGTTGGTTGGGCTGACAGGGACAGTGGGAACCACCCAGCTGAGGATGCCTTCCCATGGCAATTCTGCCTTTCCTTTTCACTCCAGGGTGGGTGGGTGACTCCCACCATCCTGCCCAGGGGTTCTGACCCCACAGCCTCATAACCAGCACACAGAGGGGCCGATGTGCACGTGTGCCTTCACCACAGAGGTCTGCAAACCTTCAGGACATCACAAGATCTCTCCTGAAAAGTCAGCGACTGCTGTCATTTGCAGTAAGATAGGATTCATCATCTCCTTTCCCGTTCAGCCCAGACAGGCTTGGACAGGGGGATGGCCTTCACACAGAGCGCTCTGGTAAAGTGCCTCCAGACAGACTTTTAGTCTCCACACCACAGTTCAGTGCACACCCTTCCCCTGAGTTGCCTCATATATAATTTAAATGTTTAATGCAAAGCAAAGCTAATGTTAACAATACATATTTTTGAAGACTGACAGTATAATGCTTTATTTCCTAAAGGAATAGCTGGAGTGATCCACAAGCAAATTACAAAGCCAAGTAACGCTGTCTGACCAGACGTAATTTGTGCTCATCTCTGAGAAATCTTAGAGTGCACGCATCCCTTCCTCCTTCCCAGCCAGGCAAAGTGGGATTTACTGTGTGGTTTTCTTTCAGGCAAGGTATGAAAAGCTGCTGTGCACTTTGTTCTGCATTGGTATTAATGATACCTTTAGAACTGTGATGTCTTTGATATCTATTGTGTGCTGCTGACTGATGGCTCTTTCTAGCCTGGAAAGGAACTTTGTCTTAGCAGGTTTGTGTGGGCTGAGAGTGGAGGCCACGAGAATATTTTGAAGTCGAGGATTTTTAAATTAATATAAAGTATCATATCATTAAAGTCACCCTAAAACTTTCTTTGTCCATGCAGGAAATTATTAGATATTATCCTATCTTGGTTCTGGTTATTCTTTATTGCCATTCATTCTCAGAGGCAGTGGATGAGAATTCACACGAGCAAGAGCAGGGACAGCACAATCATTCTCTTTGTGCACAATCTCTTGCATATTTGCTGCAAGGCCCCCCAACTTCTTTTAAAATAAAACACTCAGAAGCAGCAATTCTGGTAATTGTATGACTAATATCTTCATTATCAAAAAGTGGTGTCTTTCACGTACAACAAATGGAGGCAGTACTACCATCAGCACTGGAAATAAGGATTCAGAAAAGGGCAATTATTTATCAAAAAGAAAAAAAACCCTGAAAATTTTAATTTGTGGCATGTGTTTTTCTTAACCTGCATTATAACCTGTAAACAAACATTAAATAAACGACTTGCAAACCGATTCCATATGATCTTATCCATTTCTTTTACCACACCAGTAATACTAAAAGTAATTTTGCATAAGAGGAGACCCACGTTTTGCTCTTAGATTTTAATTAGGCCATCTGAAGTGGGAGCAGTGCTTAAGAGCACAAAAGATTGGAGACAGAAGAAAAAAACCTGGCTGGGGCAGGAAATGAGATGGTTGTTTGGAACTGCAGGCTCTGAACAGCTCGGCTGGTTTAGTGATCAATGCAGTGCCTGGTGGGGAGCTGTTCACTCTGTAGGAACACTCGTGCACTGGCTCTGAGCACCAGTCAGGTGGGCACTCTGAGGGAGGAGAAGGACCCTGGACCGACTCCTGGGGCTCAGGAGGAGCCTCCCGAGGTCAGGAGTGAGAAATGCTCGGCGCTGCTGCCCACGCCAAACCTGAGCTATGAATAGACACCTTCATCCTCTAGGCTTGTCAATCTGTCACCAGGGAAGAAAATAGAAGGGAAAATTAAAAGGTTATGATGTTATCGTCTCCATAAATAGGATTTCAGTCATCCTGGAGAAGTGCTGCGCTGGGATTTTTTCACTCAGGTTCTGCAGTCTGCTGACATCTCCCTACTGTCACCAGCCCCGAGCCTCCTTCTGGGACTGCTAAAGGTCACAGAGCACCAGGGACAGGCAGGGATACTTCCACTTCAGGGACCACAGGGAGATGTCTTTAGGATGCACGTGAAGCAAAAAGAATTGAAACAGTTTTCCTGTGTCTCTCTTTGCTGTTGCAAACAACACCAGAACAGCATTGCCTCAAGTCCATCAAAGACCAAAGGTTAGTTCCTAAAAAAGGATGTTGCTGCCTGAACCAGGAACCTGGCTTCTCGCATTTCTGAGCTAACTCAGGAAACAAAAGGATCACAGGGTGCAAGAGCAGAGGAGACTGCTGGAAAACAGTCTGAGAATAAAAGAAAAACAACCAGTGAGGCTCAAATAATACCTTTGAGAGCGAAATTAGTAAATGCCACTATCCACTTTACTTGGAAAGACAGAATTCAATGACATCAATAGAAACTGGAAGAAAATCCTCTGGTGTGAAAGCAAAGTCAAGAGACTAATTCAGTCCTCAGGGCACAGGAGGGGATGGTAGTGGGGAGGCTGACCCCCTGAGGTGCCAAATGCCACACAACAGCCTGCAAGGAGTGCTCAGCACTTCCAAGGGTCAAGCCTTTGGCACTCTGGCATTTGAGATTCAGTCTCTCTATAGATTAGGATTGATCTCCCCTGTCTCTGGATAAAAAAAATAAACAAACTGTAACCTTGAAATTGTCATCCAAACCTGGAGTCCCGCCAGAAGAGCAGAGACAGAATCCCCTTGAGAAGCAGAACAGCAACCCCAGAGGTCATTCTTGATGTATCAAACAGAAACAGGGGATTTTGATACAGCAGGGAGTTGTGTCATTTCATTTTTATTCAAGAACTAGAAGCGTAATCATAATTTTTCCCCCTGAAATGCAGAATTGTGTGCATTTACACCTAAATTCAGATACTCAGAGGATACCTTAAATATCCTTTTGGAATTGAAAATGCACGTTTGAAAGCAGTCAGAGCAGACAACATCCTTTTCCATGGCAATAGGAGAGTGTTGTACTCTCCTCTTTGTTGTTTTGGAGAACAGGGGGAATTGCCAGAGGCTTCAAAGCAATAGCACCAGTCAACTCTCCAGGCACAGGGGTTACAAGTGGTCAAGCTTTTATGGTCCATTGCAAAATAAATGCTTTTTTGCTTTAGGTGAGGCAATATTCTGAGTTAAATGAATAAAGAACTCAAGCATGCTGGAGGTTCTGTTTCCACAAGAGCCTCAAACTCTACTCCAGATTCACTGGAACTGAGGAAAGCAAAGACTGCAGAATAATATTTCAAAGCCAGAGAATAATATTTCAGGTGTTTTTCCTTAAAAGCAGATCATGGCAATGTGTCCATTGTATCCAATTTCTTCACTTTTAATGGGGCAACACCCAGCAGACCTTAAGGGAATGTGCTTACGGTCTTAAGGTGTACAGAGAGATGCACCCTCAATTCTGCTTGGTTAATTGGATCTAAAACTACAGACGTTCGAACTTAAGTCCAGCAGAATATCAATTTAAAAATAATAAAAATAAAACAAAACAAAACAAAAACACACAACAAACAAAAAAAAACACCAAAAAAAAACCTACTCAAAGCACAAAAGTAAATGGGAAACCACGCAATAATATACACATATATATAAAACAGCTGCATAAAAAGTAAAGTAAGAGACTGTCAAAGATTCAGCCAAGGGAGAAGTGCTATATAAATAGGAATAAAAAGAGGCAAGCAAGCGTTTTGAAGGGGAGTGCGTGGAATTTGACTGCTCTATCATTAACTGCATAGGCTACACGGCACACCTACCAGGAATGCATTTTATTATCTAATATTTATCACTTTTGACGGTCACAGGTGTTGCTACTTCAAAAAGATTTTAGCAAACGCCCCTAACTGTGTGACATCTGGATACTGTCACAGCAGTAACAAGAAGTAACTTTTGCCACCAGGCTCTGCTCTGGCAGATGTGGTTTTAGTGCCACTGTTCATTTCCTTCCCTGTTAAAATGCAAAACATTAGCTTTTACTTACAAATAGACATAACCTCTTCTTTTCTACAACATGAAGTTAGCCAGATCCTTCTATACTCTTAGTTCAACAAAAAAATATATTAAATAGGAAAATGTTTTAGATCATTTAGACCTCTGAATATTATGTCAGACTCTTGAGTAATATAAATTAAAGACCATGAAACCATTAGAATCCCAGAGTGGTTTGGGTTGGAAGGGACTTGAAGGCTCCTCTCATTCCACCCCTGCCATGGGCAGGGACAGCTTCCACCAGCACAGGTTGCTCCAAGCCCTCCAACCTGGCCTTGGACACTTCCAGGGATCCAGGGGCAGCCACAGCTTCTCTGGGCAACCTGTGCAATCTTCATATAACCATCTTCATATCTTCCTATATCCGATCTAACCCAGCCCTCTGTCAGTGAGAAGCCATTCCCACTTGTCCTGTCACTCCAGGCCCTTGGAAATAATCTCTCTCCATCTTTCTTGCAGGCTCCCTTCAGGCACTGGAAGGCTGCAATTAGGAAAGCCTTCTATTCTCCAGGCTGAAATGGCACCTTTTGTGAAATATTCTTAGAGTGTTTAATAAAAAAACGTCAGGAAGGAAATACAAAGTTTCCTGTAAACCTGCAGACGGAACCAGCTGCTTTAAGGTAAGGCAGAGTTATGATGGGAACATTTTGCAGGAAATATTTTTCACAAGAGCCTGAAAAAAACCCAAAAAACAACCAACCAACCAACAAACAAAAAAAACCTCAAAAAAACCAAACCTTTGGAAATCTCTTGTTTCTGCAAACCTATAAGTAGCTGAGCAAAATTACCATATTGTGAAGTCCCAGAGAATATCAGTGTCATTGAGCTGCTCAGGCTCCCTGCTCAGGGTCCCAGGGGAGCCATGCCCTGCAGAACACACTTTTTTCATGCAGTTCTTTAGTTATTTGTACCTTCTTTCTATCTCTTGCAAAAGGAAACAAAAACACTCAAGTAAAAACCCCTAAAAACCTATATCAAAAATGTGCTTACTCAAAACAGTTATGTGTGTTGGAGAACTGTCACACTGCTAACAGGTACTATGGGTTCAGGCTGCTTAACTGCAGAAAGAGACAATGGAATCAATAAGTTTATGACTTATGCACAACCTTCTGGAGATCTCAACAATCCAGGAAGAATAAAGAGCAAGAGTATTACAAAGTCAGAAGAAAATTATAGGACATCTCATGAAACAAAATGCTACAGATTGTATATTACTAAAGATGGACATAAAATTGCATATAGACATTTTCCTGGAAGTGTGAACATCAGGCCTGCAGCAAAACACCACAGGTCTAGGAAAATTCCAATTTTATATAGAGTATTAATATCAATCTGTGTCAGATTAGACAACCTACAGTGACACGGATATAAATTCCATTCTCTGCTCTGAGGGGTTTTTTGCATGTTAAGTGATATAAAGCATTCTACACCTATGCCCAATTCTGCAGGAAATTAAAGCCTATGATTATCACTTGTCTAACAGCATCAATGTAATAAATTAAAGGCTTTGAATAATGGCCAGCACGCTTCTCAGCCATATTTCAAACTTTTAGAAAATAATCAATTTTTTGGCAGACCATCTGACAAGTTCACAACTTTAGATCAAGGCTAACATTATGTGTCATCAGTATTCTTTTGTTCCTCTCATACCTATCAATTTTTGTTCATCAAAACCTAGGGCTGTTTAAAGCGTGGAAGAAATCTGGCATGTTATGTGGGTCATTTATGGAAATCAAGAACATGATTTAACATTAATATACATAAAAATGACTAGAAATTATGCACCACAAATCCAGATCAGTTTGTGGCTTTTTAAACTCCTTTGTATAATACAAAGCATTTTCTCGGTGAGGGACAGAAAAATTCAGGTGGAAAAAATATAATTACAAGATAGAAATCTTAGCTTAGTTGAAGCTATGTCGTATATTAATGTTATTCTCAACACAGCAGGACATTGGTAAATAAGACTTACATCTCTGAATGTTAATTTTTAACAGCAAAAGCTAGCACCTCTACTTCAAATGCAAACTAACTCCCAGGGGTTTCTGAATTCAGGTAAAATTTACTGCAGAGCTATAGCTCTACCCCATATGGGATGATCCTTGCTTTTATAAACAGGGAAGCAAAGAGTAGCATTGCATTAACTGAAAATAAATGCTAACACCATAGCAAGTTGTTTTCATTATTTGGGAAGAGCTGAAAAGAAGACATTTGGAAAATAAGTGTATTTCACTGAAATTAAAACCATAGAATCCCAGAGTGGTTTGAGTTGGAAGAGACCTTAAAGATCATCCAGTCCCACCCCCTGCCATGGGCAGGGACACCTTCCACTAGCCCAGGTTGCTCCAAGGCCCATCCAACCTGGCCTTGGACACTTCCAGGGATGGGGCAGCCACAGCTTCTCTGGGCAACCTGTGCCAGGGCCTGCACCACCCTCACAGGGAACAATTTCTTCCCAATATCACATCTAACCCTACTCTCTGTCAGTGGGAAGCCATTCCCCCTTGTCCTGTCACTGCAGTTCCTGATGAACTGCCCCTCTCCAGCTTCTCTATAGCCCCTGCCCACAGTGGAAGGTGCTGTGATTCTCCACACAACTTTCTCC